CATCTGCATTAGGAGGTTCAGGTCTTGCTGGTGTAGAGCCCTTAGACTCTGGTGGTGTCATATTACCCTTTATGTTGTTGAATGTATTCTTTTACTGTTGTCTACCCATCTCCTCCTCCAGTGGGTGCAGGTGGGTGCTGTGATTTAGCTGGTCTCTTTTTCTTCAATTGGTGTAGCTGGTGCCTTTGGCTTAGGGGTTTGATCTTTCTCTCCCAGTGGTGATGGTGCCAAGGATCCAATGGTGGTAGATGTGTACTGGTTGTTTTGGACTGTGAGGTGGGAGCTCCTAGTTCTCTGGCCTTGATTTCCTGGTAGGGGTAGTGTAAAATCTCTAATAGTGACAGATGCAGTGTTGGATGGTATGTTTCCAGTTTCCTGGAGACTTGCTTGGCTGTGCAGTGTGATGTGTCCTTGTCAAGGGCCTTCAAAGTTGAAGAAGAGGGGTAGTAGAATGCCTACCACTCATCTCTCCCAGTGGAGGCTGTTCCAAGCCTGAAGGTGGCAGATGCAAGGCTGGATATTTTGGGCTGACCCCAAGTCTCTGGTGATTCCATGGGCTTGATGGGAATCAGGTATAGTTTTTAAGATGATAAAAGGGGAGATGTGTTGGGATTTGGTGGGATGTTGAAACGTGCATGTTATTAGGTGTGCAAAAGGGGGCTCTTTTTTGTAATGTTTTTATTTAAATTAGAAATATGAATGATTCACATGTCAATCCCAACTCCCTCTCCCACATCTCCTCCCTTGTCCCTCCACCAAACACCTAGCCCCCCACCCAATCCCCACATCATTCCCCAGTGTGGGTGAAGCCCTACTTGGGGGAATCTCTAAAGTGTGTCATTTCATCCAGGGCAGGACCTAGATGCTTGGACATGTGTCAAGTCTGAGAGAGCATTCCTCTATTTGGAATGGGCTCCCAAGATCATTCATAAACCATGGTAAACATACTACCCAAGTCCCCAGTGATTTCTGTGGCCTCCTCACTGAGACTACATTCATGAAGTCTGCATCAGTCCCCTGTTGGCCTCTCAGGCATCAGTCTGGGATTCAACATCTCTCCCCTGTCTGGTCAGCTGTCTTTGTGGGTTTCACCATCATGGTCTAGACCCAAAGAGGGCTTTTGACTGCTGTACTTTAGTCAGCTCAGGAAAAAGCTTGGCATAAGAAAGGTGTCCAAATAAGTGAATAGTCTTTAAAAGCTAGCTTTAGGGAAATAACCTGTGGTTTACAAGAGAGAGAAAGGAGAAGGGCAAGGCTTGCTATTGCCATATGTGCCAAAACAGGGCCTTTCAAAACCTCTCAAATACCAACACATATTTTTCACAAAACTTGAAGGGACAATTATTTACCTCACACAGAAATGTTAAAAACCAAAGATAGCAAAAAACATTATGAACATACGAGACCTGTTGAGGTTCTGACCATTCCTGATTGACATCTATACACAAACCTAAGAAAAAGTTTTAGGTAAAAATGAGCGATAACATGAAATCAAATATCTGTCTTTTCTCAGGCTACCTCAGGAAAATATCATGGTTTTAGCAAGTATTAAGGTCCCAAGAGTTCACATACAATCATCTTCAAGCAACTTATCATTGATTAACAAAGTGTAAGCAGGGGAGACATTTTTCTCAGTAATTTTTACCAACTTGCTGCATCTTGCTGTTAAAAAAAAGTATCAATCATTTTATTATCTATCGGCAAATGTAATCTCATAAAAAATCTTAAAAGAATCATAAATCTAAACTTTCATACATGAAAAATAACAGTCTTTTCTACTTTAAGCCCTTGGGGTGAATACCCATTCATTAACATTTTTTCTTATTAACTCATATGAGGAACCTGAAGGCAGAAATGGGATCAATGAATTAACCTCATCTCTGATCACTAACCCATCCTAGAAGAAGGCTACATCTGCAGCAACAGCTAGGCTGCCATTGTTTTTGTTTGTTCACGTCAGTGAGTCCATTGCTAAAGTATTAAAAGTGTGTCTTTGTAAACTTTCAATTGTTCCCCCAAGATGTCCTATCTCAAAGATATTAACAAAAACATGTTAACCAATCCTTGAGTCATTATTTAAAGCTTTGTTTTAGCTGTGGTGAATATTGAAACCTGTGAACACATCTCCCAACATGAAGATCAAAATAATTTGAGCTAGCCTAGCCTCTGGAACTCAATTTTTTAAAGTATGGCTCCTTAAGATAAACACAAAAGTCCCAATTCTTTTATAATTTCTCATTGATATTTTCTATCCTCTGCATCCTCTGCTTTACCAGGGGTGGGGTCAAGACTTTTTCTTGCATTTACCTGTATTAATTTCACCACTAAAGTAATCTCTATCTTAATCCCTTAGTACATTGTTAAAACCCTTAATCATCAAAATTGTTCTAAGACTATTTTTGTATAAAATGATTACTTCACTTAAAAAGTACAGTTTAAGAGGCAATCATTTCATAATAATCCACAGGTAAAAATGCCCAGTAGAATGGAATATTTTCATGAGATAATCATATTACATTCAAGGCAGTGGAGATCCTCTTACACCCATAAAACTGTGTCAGTTACCAGAGGAAAACAACCGTGGTAGATGTGTAAATGCATAGCAGTAGTAAGAGATATTCTGGAGTGGTACTCTTTGGCACCTTGTCTTTCTAAGATTCACCTGTCAGTGTTTGCTTCCTGTTATGCCAGGTTCAGGAAACCCCAAAGAGACCCCCACAAGGAACTGACTCTCATGTAAAAATAAAGGTTTCTTTATTGTTCAAGTTGGCAGGGACTTCTATGCTGGGAGGAGGCAGAGGTTCCTAACAATAACTGAGGGAGGGTTTTATAGATCAAGGCCACAAGACTGAGCGTCAGAATATTACAAAGTTTCCATGGTTACTCAAGATTGTTACAGAGTACAAAGTAATGCAAAAATTATCTATTTCAGCAAGATACATTTGAGCAATATATGTCAGGATCATGGGATCTGGGGTAGAGGGGATTGGGTCATGAGTTTGCCAGTTATGCCCTGGGCCAGGGGATATTTATAACTGGCAATTAGTTGTTATCTGGTTTTCTGTAGGACAAAGGAAAGTTGACACATGGTACGGAAGCTAGCTCCCTTTCTCTGAGAGCTGGACTCAGGGTGCTACTTATGTACTCCTAGTTAGGGGGTCAAATTCTTTCCATCATCAGAAGTTCCCTTTTTGTCTGTGTCTGTTCAGGTTTTTAGACTTTTATTAATTATAATTTTTGGTCTCTCACTTCCTAGTGAGCTAACTCCAGAAGCTCACTTGTGATGTGCTGCTCCTCTGACATGGCCACCAGCAATATACAATGCATCCTTGATCTTCTCAACATAGGGGAACCTTGAAAGTGGAGCCCCAAGCCCAGACCATGAAACTGGATGCAGAATAATTGTGAAGCAAACCAGGAATAAATACTACGTATTTGGTCACACAAACATATTATTCTCATTATGTGGGAGATCTTGAATTTTTCTTTTCCCTTTCTGTTTTCTCACTCAATTGCAGCAGTGGGAACAGAGTTCAGGCTGTGCCTGCAGAGAAATTCATACCTGGACAGCTTATTGGATACCTGCAAGCACAGGATTGCCTTCAGTATATGAAGATCCCTAATTTCATTGCTTTTGGAAGGAAAGCAGAGACATATTAATATCATGGAATAATTTAGGCAGAATTACAATAGTTGCAACTACTGTTGATGCTTAATTTCCAGTCTTGCTGGAAATTTACTGGCTTGCTTAAGAAAACCCGGTCATGGGTTATCAATAAATGTAAGAATCTAACATCTAGTTCTTTATTCTTCTGCTGTCTTTCTCTCTTTCTGTTCTGTTCCTCTGTTTAATATCTCTGTTTCATTTTTTCTGTCTCTCTATCTCTCTGCTTCTTTGTCTGTCACCAGTTCTTGGGCGTACATATACATTTGCAACAGTAATTGTTTTACCAAACATAATATGAGGCTTGAGTGTCTCAGGGTCAGCATGGTAGATAAGATTTACACACAGAACAATAAACTAAAGCTGCTAAGAGAATCTGTTACCATCAATTACTTAGGGCTGTAGGTCAAAGAGGGTCTGAATTTAATGTGCACAAACGGCAACACCTGGGGCTCTGACGTCTATATTACAACATGCCTCTTAGAAAATTTACTCTTCTATGAGGATGAGCAAATGGGCAGATTACCTTTGTCTTTATCTTCTCAGAGGAAAAGGGGAGAGCAGTAAATCTCTGAGCTAAAATCTTGGGTCAAAAAAACGAGAAGTTTGAGAATCTTTTAGCACAGTGTTAGTTTAGGTTACCACTTCTCTGTCTCACAGTGAAGTAAAAACAGGACATGCTTATTTTTTCTATCCATCTAGGGAGCTATGAATCAAAAACTTTGGGTGCCTCATAATTCTACGTCCTAAGATTTCTGAGAATTTCAAAGATAGAATGCTTTCCCCTGGGCTCTAAAAACTGGCCAAATAGTGTCAATAGGGATATTTGTAGGAAGGCAGATCTCTGCAATTGCAATGGAGAGAGGAATAAGGACTCCATAGTGAGAAACACGTGTTACACACAGCTAAAGAATGTAATCAGTAAACTACCACCTGTTAATGTAGAATAGGTATTTACACACAGCTGTATGTTATCAGTAATCAATAAAACTCCAAATGCATGGGGGGAATTTGTTCCCAGTAAATGATCAGATAATGCTAAACTGTGGGAAGTGGGAAGTTAACCCCAAGTTTGTAACAAAAAGGAATGTGCTACCAGAAGAATCTACATCAAGAAACAGCCCATTCTTTCATGAGACTATAACGCCAAGTACATCCATCCGGTGTTGTCGTCCATCACTGGAATTCTTAATTCTCCCGAGTTATCTCACAATAGATGACTGTATATTTACTATGTGATTTTGTAGCTTGTACGAATGGGTGAGTCTAAAATCAATAATGGACAAAAGAATATTTGAATTTATCATTACTCATGAGTCAGTATTTTAAATTGCCCTCACCTACAGCAGGGAATATGATTCTTGAGAATAGATTTGTTATTACTAATGAGGATGAAGGGGCAAAATGTTGGGAAGCATGTGTCTAGGAATGTAAATATGTTGATTATCCACAGCTTTGGATTGTCAAATAATATGGTGTAGATAACTAATATGAAGGACATTGAGTATGAGAAGACAAAGGTGCACACAAGGATCAAGATGGTTTTTGTGGCTCTGTCTTCAGGGGAGACTCTGAAGGAATGCTGGGCATGGATGTACTGTAGCTGACTCTTGTGCCTGTAGAGGGTGCTCACCATGAAGACACTGGCCCAGACCATGAGACCCAAACACAGACCATCAGTGGAACAAAGCAATAACAGATGTAGTACAGTTGCTGTGTTGCCAAAAAGAAATGCTGAGCAGTACCCCAACTTGATTTTCTTAGTAAAATTATTGTTATTATGAGGACCAATCACATCAATAGCTGCTTTGCTGTTTAGAAGCAAATGTACAAGCCAGCTGAGTGAGCAGGACTGAACCATGTACTTCGAGACTGAGTGTTTAAGCTTCATGTACCTTGAGTTGCTGGGGCTGATTGTGATTGCCTGGAAGCAACTCAAGAGGCAGGTGCAATGCAGGGAAATGCCCCGGGACACTCGATTACTGTAGAGAGTAATTTTACATAAAGTATCATCCAGGAGATTGCGCAAGCCCAGCTGTGCCAGTATGTGAGGAATTACTCTTGACATAATAACCAAAGAATTGGCTAAAGTCAGATGCCTCAAAATCTGGTCTTTTGGCATCAGATTTTTTCCAGTAAATATAGGCATGACATAAGGAAGAAGAATTGACCAGTTGCCAAGAATCCCAACAGCTGTTTGTGAAAAGAACAAAATCCCCATTGGCAAATTCTCAACCATGATTTTTTTGTCATCTGAAACAGACAAATTTAACATCATCAATACTACTCAGGAAGGAAACATTTATATGTGTCTTCATTTTAATAGCGCAAATTATGTCAGTATCTCACCATCATTTCTTATTGTGTTTTCACCATTGACAAATTCCTTGCAGGATTTTAATATTGTCACATATTTATCGTGAGCTCAATCGTACTATTGATGGATAAATAACAAACCTTAATGATAGGGACCTTCAAGTAGACTTCGGTTTAAAAATGTATGATATTTATAGTTTATTATTGTCATTGCATGTCTCATCCATAGAGATTATTCTCTGAAGTGATAGCTATACATCTATCATAATGTTAATGAGACAGCACTACTCTAGACACTGATCAATATATCAATGGATATTGAAAATGTGGTATATCGATCCTGGATTGATGCCCTACCATTTAAGAAGCTTGCTCATGCCATTGCCAAGTCAGAGGAGCAGCAGATGCCAATTGACTTCAGGGGATCAGTCCATCTGGAAAACAAAATGAGTAGTTGGTCATTTGTGGCGCCTGCCTTTAATCCCATAATTTGGGAAGCAGAGGCAGTTGGATCTCTTTGAGATTGAGGAAGCCTAGTCTACAGAATGAGTGCCAGCACAGGCTCCAAAGCAATACAGTGAAACCCTGTCTCAAAAACCAATAAAACAAAACAAAACACCAACGTCAACAAAAATCTTGGATACACAAGGCCCATACATCCTTGGCCCTAGAGTGTTTCTCTCTACCTCTGTGTCTTTGCATGCCACTTCCATTTTTTCTTGTATCTGGCATGGTGTGAATTGTGTGGGGCACACTGCCGTTAATGCAATGTGATCATCTCTTGGAAATAGTCCATTATTCTGGGGATTTTACCTGTGGATTATTATGAAGATGATTTTCTCCTAAGCTGTACTGTTTAAATGAGACAATGATTTACACAAAAATAGTGTTCGTTTAAGTAGAAAATTTAAACAACATTAGTGTTATTTATACAATAATTATGTTAGCTTAAATAGTTTTTATTAAATATGGTAAGGACTTATGATAGAGGTTAGTTAAGTGGAAAAATTATTACAAGTAAGGGTTGGATAAAATGTTGCCTCTGTCTCTGATGAAGCAGAGGCTACAGAGGATGAATAAAACAAGGAAGTTTCACACAGGTTGAAAACATTGAGGAGTCATATAGACTCTGGATTAGGTAAATGATTATGAAAACCACCTGAGTATCAGAAGCTTAAATTATATCAATGTTAATGATGGGACATATGTTCTCAGTGTTTGGAGTACATCATCGCTGAAATAAAGCCTTGAAATGACTTCAGGTTAGGTGAAGATGTTTTGATAATAGGTTTGAGGTAAAAAAAAACAAGAGAACAATCTAAAATTGTATAAAGCCACATAGCTGAGATATAGATTAAGATTAGCAATCAAAAATAAAGCAGCCTAATTATTATTAGGCAACATAACTTTCTTCTTATGATGTGTTTACACATGTAAAAGTTTATATTTGTGAATCTTCTAAGACTTCATATAAGATAATCTTTGTAACCACAAAATGCAGCCTTCGATTAGAATAACTGGCTGAATCAAATACCTTGATTGCTTACACTATGTTAATCTCTAACAAGTTTCTTGGAAAACTTGTTTTCCACCTGTAATAAGTAAAATGTTAAACAATTCTATGGTTAAATATGAGTCATATTCAACAGCATAAGGAAACATGCAGCTTTTTTACCTGTTCACAGCAACCATTCACTTCAAAAATCAAAGAAAACCAATTGTAATTTTTATACTGTGTGAATGTTTTGTTTTGTCATAGAGGAAAAATACAGTATACAGAAGAAGGAAACCATCAATAAAATATATGTGTGTTTTTCCCTAATCACTTTAGATAAAACATGTCTTATTAAAAAACAAGTCATAGTAAACTGACCTCATGGATCCCCTCCAAGCCCAAAACTTCATGATAGAGGTAACTGCTCTTGCAAAGAACTCAGGTCTGCTTCCCAGCAACCACATGGAACTTTGTAGTTGTCTGGAACTCCAATTCTATGGTTCTCAGCCTCTCTTCTAACCTCTGAAGGCATAAATCATGTACATGGCACACAGACATACATTCAGGCAAATATTAAAGCACACAACATAAAATATATAAATCTACAAAGGAAAAATGTGTATGCATAGAATAGAATTTTTTCACCTACAAGTAGAAATGTCATGAAATTTGTTAAGAATTTATTGGACCTGGAATTTATATGATACTATATTACCCAGATTCAGAAAGCTATGTAATGTATGAACTCTCACATTTTCAGATCTTAGATTTTAATATGTTATATGTGACTATGTTAATTATGTAATACAGTATTTATATATTACATATGTAAATATATAGTATATCAAGCATATAAAATATTTTAATTATGTAATCATTACATATTACATATAATTATATAACATATGATATTGTATATTATATTATATTAACATAATGTATGCCATATAATTGAATTATGGCATACGTATGTATGAATATCTCCCTGAGAGTGAAATATAAGGCTTGAAATTAGTAATATAGACTTAGGAGAGGAAAAAGAGATGTTGCATACACGTGGGTGGGGCAATATAACACACATGCAATGTCAAAGCAGAAAAGAAATGATGAAGGCAGAACATTGCGAGAGGATACAGAGAGGGAGAGGTGAACCATGAAAAACTAAATACAACCTTTAAAACCTGGCAAATCCACACTGGTTAGTACGTGAAGGAATCTTTCTCTCCTTTATCAGTGGAGCACTACAGTGATGATGATCGTGGGAAAATGATACAGACTTAGGGCAGTCAGTAGTGAATCACAATTACCAACGAGTTTCCTTCCTGTTGGTGAAAAATCATAAAGATCAGGTTACAGCTTAGTATGTTGTTGTATGTGTAGTTTGAATGTATCTCAGTAATAATAGCCCTTGGTAAGAGATTATGTTTGAGAGTGGCTGAAACCCTGTATTATGGCAATGACAATACAGTAGGGGAATTCCAAGCATGCTCCTGAAGTCTTCTCAAAAGTGAGAAACACAAGTGTTCATCCACAGTTACTCTTGGAGTGTCTCAACATGAGAATGAATGCTACCTGTGCAAATCTAGGTGGAATTTTTACTGGAAAAAAGAAATCAAGAAGACCAAATGTCTGCCTTATCTCAAGTTACATGATGCAACATGATATAATACCATGTTCCCACATGTTGTGGTTTTCCATTTGTGAGAGTGAAAATAATTTTTGAATTTCTTAAAAAGACTTATTTACAGTTTTAAAAATATATGATTATTTATGTTTACATTTCATTAGTATAACAATGTTGCAAATGATTTTGCTTCCCATATTCTCTGATGTTTTCCAGCATACCCACCATATAGCATTTACCAGGAAATTGGGGTCACCTAACCAGACAACATTAACCATATTCCATACAGTGTCTTCAGATACTGAGCATCTGTCTAAATGCAGAGCCATAGCACGCAGTGTTATTACAATGACCTGCAAAGACACATTATAATATTGAAAGAAATAACATGAAATTCAGCAAGACAGAGCTAACAGTAAGTTAAAGAGAGAATCAGTAACTGTCCCACACAGATTAGGATCTGAAATGTGTCAATGTCTATGCAACTCTGTCTTTGAGGCGTCAGCTGAAAAATACAACAGAGAAAGAGAGGAATAAAGGAGTGGAGGGCTAAGGCTCCAAAAAGACTATAAGAGAGGGTTTGTTTCAAGTTAACATCTTTCAAAGGTCAATTCAAGATCATCTCCATAATCAACCAAGGAACATCTCTGATCTGAACCAGCAGGTACTTTTCCTTGAATGGGTCCTGAAGAGGAAAATACAGCAGATCAGACATTAAGAAGATAGAACAGGTGGGCTTAGGAGTTCTTGTGCAAGATATGTCATATGCCAAGCAAGGTTATTGAAAATTTTAGCACCTTGTATGCTAATTTCAGGGGAGAGATGGGATGAAGTCAGTAGAAAGCTGGTCAAACAGAATTGCACAAGGGGATGGCAGAATATCTCAAAGGCATTAGCTATCATAAAGAAAATGCTAGTATAGAAAGATGTTCCTGATGGTCCCAGTATAAGAAGACACCACATAGTGGTTCTTAATCTATCTTTCTTTTACTCACAGAAGTTTATATTGTCACACAATTTCTCAATAGAACTTCTGAGGTAAAGATGTTGTGAGGTAGCAAGAGTGCAATTAAATACATTGTGTAGAACAGTAGTGACTTAACACAGCATTAAGCAGGAAATTATGCAAGGAAAAGATATGCTGATTCACATGTTAAGAAACTGTCAGGCTATTGAACAATCTTGGAAAATCAGGTAAGGTAGTAGACACTGTATGCAAACAACACAGCTCCAAAGAGTTAGGTTTTGCGATAAATACCATTTTGAAGTTCAGTCATTTCACCAGTCTATAATATAAGTCAATTAATTCAAAAGAATGGGAAATAGAATATTTAAAGAGAAAATGAAAAAAAACCTGGAAACCCAACAGATTGTCTCAAAGTTTTGCAAAAGTACCTGGAAGACTTCTCTGTTGGTATGTTATTGTATGCTGGAATTCTGAGTGAGTCTACAAATGAAGGGACAGCCAATCATACTGTGTGTCAGCCATGCTACTCATATATATATATATATATATATATACATATATATATATATATTGTGTTCATTCAATCATGATGAAAGTTTATGGTTTAAAGTATTTAATTTATTCATGAAAAAGATATCCATTTTAATGAGTCATTTTGACATAATACCTGCCTGTGATTTTAGGATTGCTAACTTTGGGGCAGGAGTCATTGGGTCAATAGTTAAGTCCATTTGCTATCTTACAGAGGATCTGGGTTCTTCTCTTGCAGTGCCAACACTGACTCGCTCACAACTCCCAGAATCTCCAGCTCCAGGGATAATCTGCTACCTCTGAACTCTGCTGTCTCTCACATACACATGTGCACAAGCCCACAGA